ATAGTCCAGCAGGTGCCACTGACGCGACCGAGGATGCCTCCAGGTGGCCTTCTCTCGCTCCGGCAGACAGAAGAACGTGTTCGTCAGGATGAGGCGGTGTTCTGCGCAGGTGCGGAGGAGAAGCAGGCCGTTGTCGTTGGAGCCGCGGACACCGTGAGGACACAGCACTCCCCTCCAGGCAGTATGGTCTGTGCCGACGCGGGCGTTGAAGTCACCAAGGACAATCAACTTGTCCTCCTTCGACACAGTCGCCAAGAGGGCATGCAGGTCCTCGTAGAATTTGTCTTTGACGGCGTCGGGGCTGCTCATCGGCGGAGCGTAGGCGCTGATGATGGTGGCGAACTTGCCTCCTCGCCGGAGGGGCAGGCGGAGGCTCATCAGGCGATCGTTGATTCCCTGCGGTAGACAGGGCAGTCATCCCACGATGTCGGTCCGGATGGCGAAGGCGACACCCGCGTCTCGTCGCTCTGCCTTGGGTCGACCACTCCAGAAGAAGGTGTAGCCGGCACCCACCTCCTCCTGTTGGCCTTGTTCGGAGAATCGGGTCTCGCTGAGTGCGGCGATGTCCACCTTGTAGCGCGCCAGTTCTCGTGCCACTAGCGCCGTCCTCCGTTCCGGTCGGTTGCTCCTCGGATTGTCTAAAAGGGAACGAACATTCCAGGCTGCCAGAGTGAGCGGGCTCACCCTGCCAGTCTGGCGACTGCGGCGGCGAAAAGTAGGAGTAGGAGAAGAAGAAGAATAGGCTGGAAGAGAAAGAGAGTGATTGTTGTTGTTGTTTCGGTTTTGGCTGTTTCGACCGTGTGTTTTTTGTCTGCGGCCACGGCCAGCCTACAGACAGCGTGGTTCCCAGCGATCTTTAGGGCACCTTTTCTAGCCCCCTCCCCCTCGCGGGGGCAGGAAACGCATCCCTGAACAGGGCTGCCCGGTTATCCCAGACGGCTGCCGGACTCCACTATGGGCCACGACTTTTTGTTAGTGAGAGAACGACCCGAATTAGCCTGGGACCTTGGTGGTGAGGTGATGATGTGATGGAGTGAAGTATGAGAGAGCATACACACTAACTAACGCTAGGAGACTTAGAACTAAAGTGGACAAGCGGACACAGTCATCAGTCAGAGACAAAGTGAGGGCACCACACAAAGTCAAGCACCGTAACACCTAGCTATTAGTAGAGAGTGGCATAGACTGACGGACAGACAATCGCAGCAGGCATCGAGGGTGTCGTTTAGCTATTGACAGACAGACTAGCATATAAAGGGCAGGCAGCAAGCGCAGCGTACGACGCGGGACTTCAACAGACAAAGGAAGAAACAAAGCAAGCGCACTTACCTGAGGGGAAACTTACCTGGTGGCCTCCTGCGATGGTCCAGGCAGAGCCTCGTCTCGACGATGTCGACGCGAAGATCCATCCGGCCAGCGCAGACCACAGTACCGCGCGTGCAGGTGCCCGCACGGATACCCTCACCTGGTTTAGCCCGTCGGTCGAGACGGTTGCCCGGGGTGTGGCCGCTGAGCAGAGCCCAGCTACGTGGAGCCACAGGTGAGAGTTGGGTGCCAGCAAATGGACGCTAGGCGTAGTCTCACCGGCAAGCAAGTGAGCGACCACTACGTCCATCACGTGGACCCACCGCTGACACCCCTACACCCCACACACACACATACACACACACACACACACACACACGACAGTTCGTCCGTCGATTTCGACGATGACCACCGTGTGCCCCACAGACTGCATTGTGGGAGCAGGGACGGTGACTTACGCAGGGGTTTATAGTGCCAGTAGACTTGCGTAGCATCTACCTACACTCTCTCCTCCTCCCCCGCCTGGACCCGGTGTCAAGGCAGATTCAAGAAAACCGGAGACGGGGGAGGCCGCAGGTGGATGGCTCGGACGGGTCTTCGCCTTGGCGCTCCACTCCGCACCCCTGGTGCACACACCAAGACCAGGATTTGACCACAAAACAATGGGGTGGAGGCAGTGGTCCAGTTGTGCGACGAATGCCGACAACAGGGTCCGCCAGCGCACCCCGGGAATGTTGGCATTTGTTATTGCGCACAGATAACGCCTGCCAAAGTCCGATGTGGCCCCCGTGTTGATCCAGCGCATCTAACACGTGGCCCGTTTAGAGGGCGCACACACACACACACAAGTTTTGAATATTTGTTTTATGTAATTATTTAGCTACTTTTCTTCCCCAAGTTCCTTGCGTATTTCTGCTTTTTTGTAACGTTACTGTAATCAATAGGGAGTTAAAAGCTGATCGCCTTGACAAAACCGAAGTGAACTGAAAAAAGGGTATGCGTGTAAAGTAGTTAAGTTGCAAAAACGGTTTACACGCAGTTTTAGTGTGCAGAATGCATGACAATAATGATGGAGCATAAACGTTTAAAATGTGCGGCATTTGCAGAATAACGGCACTGCGAAATTCGCACTTGGATAAAAGCTAAGATACACAAACGATCTGTTGAAATCATGTTAGTAGTATGTTTATAGTCGTTTCAGTAATGCAGTATATGGGCTTTTGGGATTTCGGGTTACCATTTAACGGCTAACTATCCAGATGTCCTTTGAACACACTCACGGGAGAGGTATGTACAACATACATAATCGGTAAAGAATTCCACTGATGAATTGTTCTGTGCGGGAAAAAGGAAGAACGTTGATTGGTGTGGCACAGTTCCTTTTTAAGCTGGCAGTCGCGTCGACTGCGATTTATCTTCCGTGCCATTTCAAAACAAACTTCCCACTTGACATCCAGATAAAGTCCTCTTAGCAACTGAAGCGTTGTAGAAAGGTCACCTCTGTCCTGTCCGTAGTGGTTGGGATAGTCATTCACGGTGGTCAGGAGTTGCAATTCTAGAGTTCATGAACAGCTTTATAACATGTCTCTGTACACCTTCAAGAACATTTACATATTTTCGAAGCCATGGTCGCCAAGTCTGAGCTGCATATTCCAGAGGAAGCTGCACAAATGCTTCATATGCCATAAGAGAAGACATCTGCATTCAAGTTAACAAACGTTTTTTCGTATCGCGCTCATAACTGACATTGCACGCTCTGGGAATTTAGAACATTTAGTGGTGACGCTCAAGTCATCTTTAACAAATACGCCAAAGTCTCTTTGTATATCTAATTTTTGACGTCGAATTTCGTGCACCAGTTTTCGCTCCATGTGAGCAGGTTCTCTACGTCCTCTTGTAATATTTTGGCGTCTTTTTCACCTTTTATCACCCTCCACAACTTACGATCGGGTGCAAAGAGCGCTATACCCGATTTTGCTTCTCATAAAAAACCATTTACATAAATAATGAATAGGAGCGATCCAAAAACTGATCCTTCCGGAACTCTGCTGTTAACAGACGCTCATTCTAAACAGTAGTCACCTGCAGTAGCTTTTTATCTACGATCGTTTAAGGAATCTTAAATCCCTAATTCTGACGACTTTTGAACGATGGACTCCTCTTTTTGTTAACTGCTTCCTGCAACTTGTCTTTTAGTCTGTGTCGGCAATAACCAGTTTTTTTTCATAAACGTACTACTACAGGTTTTCTGGAAAACTCAGTATGAATGCAAGTAAAAGGAGAATAAAAGACGCCTACCTTGTTTAATAAGGCTCCTGCTCGAAAATTAATTACATAGGTATGCTTGTCTTCTTCTTCTTCTTCTTCTTCTTAATAAGTCTCTCTGAATCTCTCTTAGTTTTTTCAAAGAAGGCACCGACCAAGTAGATTCGGCTCAGTCGTTTGCTCAGCAGGTCGGTTGGTGAGTGGACAAAGCGCACGCGTTGATCTGATCCAAACTTTTTTACGCCCCCTATACAAGGACACTATCAGCTCGACCTTTATGGTAGGAATTTCTAAAGGCAGAATGGGGGGCCTAAAATGGCCACCTACCAGATGTCGAGATGAGTGAAGTGGAGGAATGCATACAGAAGCTAACTTTACTAAATTTAAATTCAGTTATAAAAAATAGCGTTAAGTATGCCACGTTCAATTCCAACGCCGCAATTGTCTAGTTCTTTTCCAACGTCTAACTTTTCGTCACACCGTCAGCTAGCTGAGGAAACAGACAATAGTTATTGAATTTATGTGTACTGGGAAGTTACTCTAGCAAAAATAAGTGATTTTGGAAAACTGGGGAAATGGGCTCCTTAAGATTGGGTAACTACCCCAGGCACGCCTTCTCCAGTTAGGGTTGTTTTCTGAGAAGACAACTCATTATTTCGCATATTTTCACATGTTTTACTTCTAGTGGTTTCACTTGCTATTAGTCTTCTTCGAACCTTCCCTTTTAAGAAAACTTATTTATAATCCTGGTTGGACTTTAGACGGAATGGAGATCCTAGTTTGTGATATGCTCAAAATTTCCTTATGGGAGCAGAAAGGTGGTACGGCCACTCAGTTCGTCCACAGACAACATCAGGTGCCTCATTATCTTTTCTCCGGTAAGCCAACCAGAGTCCCTCCCCCTTGCCTATTCCTGTGTGAATGAAGAGAACCGCGATGAAATTCGACTAGACCTCATTCATGGATCACCCACGCAGTGTGCGTGCCTGAGTGTCGTTTTGCGTCCAACCTCGGCGGTCGGCCGATGAAGATACAGTAGATGTGCTACCTCATGAAATGCTAAGGGAAATTCTGTAGTGTTTTTAGTTCGACGAGACTACTTAAGTGGGTCGCAATATTAATCACCATGCAGCATAGTTCTAAGATATTTCAGGCACGTTAGGAGCAGACATCTTAACGAGTTTCTTTCCTGCCGTCTGCAAAAACGAAACTGTAAAAAGTGGCTACCCAGTTAGTATGCATTTTTTACGCTGACTTTCGACGTCCCTGTAAATTCAAATATATTTTACGGAAAACATACGCAAATTTATTCTTTCTTGGACTCACTTGGTTGGACATTATGCTTTTTTTCACAAATTTTTCCCGAAGAAAGAGTATGTCTTGGTTTTAAAAGTTCCGAATTATGAAACTGTTCGCATGTGGTTATGTAGCCCCAGTCACCTCTGATACAGTATCGTTGTAAATAGGGCTTTTTACATGTGAGGCCGGGGAACGCACAGGCGACGAGGTCAAGTAGTTGTAGGCGAAAGAAAAGCTATCGGGAATGCGCGGTTGTACTTTGAATGGTTAAAAAATAGTTGCGCTAATCCCTAACCCTAACCCCAGCCCCAACCCCAACAATGTTGAGTTCGTCAGGTGGGGCTACCAAACCACATCTTGCCATGAGATTTTTATACCGCAAAATAATTATTCGAACAACATTGTATCAGTACGTTAATTAATACCATTTATAGAGGAGACGACATGGTTCACGTCTGCTGTGAAATTTTAGGCGGCCTACATGACGTCTTTTTAATAGTGTATAGAAGTGTATGATTTTCCTTATTCGGAGAGTATACAGCTTGCAGTTTGGTAATCCGTGGCCCCAGTGTAACGGCAAGTGGGGCAAAGATTTATTCGGGAATCCAAAATGTTTTTTAGAATAGATTCATCTCTTCCTTCAAGCCAAAAAGTCAAACAAGACTCGATTTTCCACTAAATGAGTACAGGAAAGAATATATTTGAGCATTTTCGCTATGAAATATAGCTGAATTTATAAGGGCACCAGACGTTTATAGGGAAATTCATACTACTCAAGTGGCCACTTTTTGGTGAAAGTACTTTAATCAGGCGTTCGACAAGAAGCTCATTCGAAAGACTGGACTTTGACGCGACTGACATACTTTGGGATTACGCTATAAGACAATTAATACGGTAGTGCTACTTAAGTAAACTTTTCGAATTGAGAACCCCTTACAGAATTTTGGCTAACATTTCATAAGATAGCATGCCTATTGTATGCTTTATGATGAAACAACAGCCCAGCCTTTGTTTCCTTCTCTATTTCAGCTAATTTCTGAGTCCAAGATGTCAATGTGATTTCGCGATTAAACGATTGAGCGCGCGATCACTAACCGACGGGGTTCGGTTTCAAGTCGGGGGTACGTCTTGTAATCCAATGGGTGAACGCGCCTCCTACATAAAAGCAATGCGATTATTAGAAGACTGATGGGAGGCTTCAAAACACCAAACTAGGAGATTCATGGGGGAGAAGAGGGAGATTAGAGCAGGATGCCAGGAGTTTCATTTAAATGCTGCTAATTACCGCGTGTCCCCCAAGTAGCAACAAATATTATAAGATTATTATACTACTGTCTGTATTTCAGTAACGTTTATGTTTTTATTATTGTCCCAGGTCCGTTGAATTTGCGTGTTGGCATTAAATTCGCCTTCCTCAGAAACTGCGATAGCACCAATTATCCATAGACAGACTGCTGTACAGCACATTTAGTAACGTTAATTTTTTCACACTTGGATCTCTTCGTTTATCTTTCTGGTTTCGAAAACTTTGCCAATCTGAAAAGAACTTCTGTAGTTGTTTGATGTATCCATTTTCAAATTTTGGATATAATTCGCTTCCTTGTAACAAATAGGGACTTCATAGGTCCAATACCTATGTTTCACTCAAATAAACTGAAACTGAAGATGAGCGAGCACTCAAGCTACACTGCTGGTACTACTGAACTGCGTTATGTACAGTGAGTGACCGATTTCATGAAATGTTGGTCAAAATTCTGAAATGCGTATTCAATTAGGAAGAAATGCTTAGGTGGGGTTGTAATGCTGATTATCTTGCGGCATAATCCTATAATATTTCGTACTCGGTAGGACGCGGGCTTTTAAATGCACTTTTTTCAATCTCCTGTAGAAAACGTACTCCGTAAAGAATGACTACATAACTAGCATACATTTTTCACTCTGATTTTCGATGGTCTTATCAATTCGAATATATTTTACGAAAACCATGAACACAAATATTTTTTCTTTCAATCGTTTGATAGAGAATCGCGCCAACTTCATAATTTGTACTTGAGGAGGGAGTATAATTATGTTTTAAAAAGGTTTTCTAATCCCCGAATAATTTGGAGCCTGATCGGCCGTTGCATTATCGCCTGGTGATTTCCGTCTGCAAGGTGCATGCGTTCCGCGTAAGGAAAATCATATATTCTTTTATGTCTTTAAGAAGATACCACATAGACTTCATGAAATTTTGCAATGGAT